GAGGTGTTGTGTACATTCCTTCTTAAAGCTACAAGACCCGACCAAGTCTGTATTGACCCTTCACTTTTTTAAAATTAAACTGAAAATTTCTTTAAAGGAGTAGAGAAAAGCTGAATACAGACCTCGACTGAAGATGGGACGTCCTGTTTCCCACAACATGTATCTTCTTTAGGTATTTTGTGAATCTTCTTTTCTGAGGAAGGTTTGGCATCAACCTGTTTTTTCAAAGTTTCATAACTTTCTACTTCATTCTTAATAGCCATTTGCTGGTTATTCCCTTAAATAAACAAAAATGATTCAACATTTGAGTAATCAGTTCAATTCATTTTCCAGGAGTTAGTTTCCTCCCAGTCATATTATTTGACTCCTACAACATATATCTTCCTGTTTTAACATGTTCAGATGATGGCCTGACCACTCTCAGTTTAAACAGTATTGAAGAGCAAAAAAACCTAAATTTGAAAGCTCTAAATAAATTTTTAAACCCATCTGGTATTGGGAAAGGAATAGAGAAACTGATCAATGAAATAACGAACCCATATACAGAGCCCAGTGTATATAAATGATGAATACTTGATAAACCCACATTTAAATATTAAGGAATTGGACACCTTTTCAGTAAAAACTTCAATAGCTATGTGACAAAAAAAAAAATGGAGTTGGATCCATTCTTCACATCACACAACTTTTTTTAAAAAAAATTTTTTTAACAAGAAAAGGAGCATGTTTATCTCAAATATATAGAACATTTTTTAAACAGAAGAATTCACCGAAGACAAAAATCAGTGATTTTCACGCTGTCATATTAAAAGGATTTTGCGCAACAAAAACAATCTTAAAAATCAAGAGCAAAGAGAAAGGGAAAAATATTTGCAATAAATATGTCAGTTAACAGTTTGATATCCAGAATTTATACGACAAACTGATGCACATATACAAAGCTAACAACAAACACTTCCCCAATGGAACAACAGTCAAAGGACACAGACAATTTACAAAGAGGAAATAAATCTATATGCTGGTCAATACATGAGAATACACTCATATTCCCTAATAATCAGAGCACTGCAAATCAAAACACCTGTAAGATACCATACTACCTGCACTAGGTTGATAAAAAAAAATGAAATCCAATAAAATCCAATGTTGGCTGTGGGGAAGCAGGCACTCTAATAAATTGTTGGCTGGGTTAAAGGCTAAGGCAGTAAAAAAAATCATTAAAGACACTATAATGATCCCAACTTTTGAACCAGTCATTACACTTGCTACCTGTACCCAAAAATATCATGAATGTGAAAAAAGAGCCTATTTATTAAAAAAAATTAAATACTTTATTTCAAACAGTAAAAAATTAGAAGTCACCTATATTATCCACCAATTAGAGAATGGCTAAGGAAATTATGACCTATTAACAGAATACTCTAAGGCCACAGGATGATAAATGATTCATACTGGGATGAGGTCATGCTTAATGAAATTAGCAGAACCAGAACCACATACAAACTAACTACCACAATATAAGAAGTAAAGAAAACAAGGAAGATGACACAGAACAAGAACACATTAATTCTATTTGGTCTTCTGATCATTTGTTTGGTTTTACATTATTAGAAGTGAGGGATTTTGGTCTGTTTTTGTCCCTAGTTTCATAGGTTTATTTGCTTGTTTTCTTACATTAAGTTAAAGTTTTTTTCAAGACATAAGAGAAAAATATGGGAATTCTAAGTATTTTATAACTAACCCATAAAAAGTGGAAGTAGGGACAATGACATAGGATGCCTTATCCATAGATCACAATGGAGAATTACATCCACCCTTAGCAAATGGAGCCAGGAGTTCAGAGTTCTAGTCCTGGGTCCCTCACTCGATCACTGGGTGATAATATTGATTGTAAAATGAAGAAAATTCTTGTTCTGCCTCACAGCCTCAGCAAGTGTATTCTGTAAACCCTGAATCACTATGTAAATAGAAGCCGTTATTATCTCTATGCCCTGCTACAGTTGGGTCAAGAAGATAATGGAATATGCTGTGAGGTGGATAAGAAATACAACCTGGATATAGTTTCAGTTTCACTTGTTTTCAAAATGTTTTATTTCTCAGAGTTTGGAAGCTGCATTACTTTTTTAAAAATTGCTCCCTTTTCACATAACTTACATTAAAAAATGCCTTCTACTACTTATAATCCTTCTCATCTGATGCCTTACATTCATAACCAAGATTCAGCACCAAGAAAAGAATTCTGCCGAATTTGCTCAATTTTTTTAAATAGAGAACCCTCACAATTAAAAATCCCAAGTAATTTATAAAGATAAGTAATGGCATATTGGGGGAAGTCTATCAGAATCCAGAGTCTTGTTAGCTAGTCTTGCTAACTTGTTATCTTGTTTGTTAACCTAATCTAGTAGCTCTGCCATTAACTAGTCTTGTTACCTTAAACAAGTCACTTACTGATCTGGAACTCAGTTTTCTCACCTGTAAAATGAAGGAATTGGAGAAGAACAGGGTTTCTTAACCTTTTTAAAAGTGTCAAGGACCCCTCTGACAGACTGGTATAACCAATGGATCCCTCTCAGAATAATGTTTTTAAATGTATAAAATAAAATACATAGGAGTAAAGAGAAAACCTATTACACTGAAATAAAGATGTAATTTTTTTTGGCCATACAAGTTCATGGACTCCTTAAAATCTAAGAACCTCTGGAATTCTGGATTAGACTAAGCTGGAAGTATCCTTCTAGTACTTAAAAAAAATGTTTATTAGGTTAATCCAAGTGGGACATATAGGAAACAACACCCTAAACATTTAAAGGAGAACTACTTCAAATCAACTCAACATCCTGATTGAGAAAATTTTCTGAAAAGTAATAGAAAATTCTGTTATTCTATGAAATAACAAATCAGCAAATAGCTTAAACTACTCAGGTTTTCATGCTTAAGCCCAGTTCAGGTATACTAAACATTTTTGTTTTGGAACATAAGCATTCTCTCAAAGATACTATGAATTTTACCTTCTCTGTGTAAAAGTCATACAGCATATTAACTACAAGAAGTTCCCTGCCCCCATTCTTGGAGGGGAAATAAATGTTTGAAAGGGAAAAAAAAGTATAATAAATGTTACATTTTAAAGTAGAATTAAATAAAATAATAAAAATAGGTTATATTGTATAAAGGGTCATCTTTGGAGTCAAGAGAGCTTGGTAAGTTTGAAACCCTGCCTTTGACACTTTCTAGGCCAGGGGTGGGGAACCTGCAGCCTCGAGGCGACATGTGGCCCTCTAGGTTTTCAAGTGTGGCCCTTCCACTGAATCCAAACTTCATAGAACAAATCCCCTTAATAATTAGATCTGTAAAACTTGGACTCAGTCAAAAGGCCGAACCCAAGGACCTAGAAGGCCACATGTGGCCTTGAGGTTGCAGGTTCCCCACTCCTGTCTAAGTTATAGGCAAGTTATTTAACCCCTCACTGCCTGCAGATAAGTTACTGATCTGCAGTAGTATGGAAGACAGCTAGGTGGCACAGTGGATAGAGTTTAAATGTAGCCTCACACACTTACTACCTGTGTGACTGTGGGCATCACTTAACCCTGTTTGCCTCAGTCTCCTCATCTATAAAATAAGCTGGAAAAGGAAATGGCAACCATTCCAGTATCTTTGTCAAGAAAATACCAAGTGCAGTCACAAAGATTAGGACACGACTGAACAAGTATAGAGAATACACACTGATTAAATCTCAGATCCATACCAAAAAGTCAAAATATCAGGCAGAATAATGTTACAGGATTAATATTTTATCCACAATTCATTTATAAAACAGCTCACAAGGGGCAGCTAGGTGGCACAGTGAACAGAGCACTGGCCCTGGAGTCAGGAGGCCCTGAACTCAAATCCAGCCTCAGACACATAACACGTAATAGCTGTGTGACTCTGGGCAAGTCACTTAACCCCAAATGCTCCCCCCCCCCAAAAAAAACCCAGCACACAAAATGATGAAAACTAGAATTTAAGCTTTTTCTGCGGATGGGATGGCAGGGAACAAGGAAAGTTAGGGGAGGTTAGGCCTAGACAACTTCTAAAGTGCTTTTTAAGCTCTAAATCTATGATCACAGGAGCTGATGACTGTTAATTTCCAAGCTGTCTCTCCGGAATTCAGCATAGTGCCAGGCTCATTGTAGGCCCTCAGAACACTCTTTTCTGAATTAACATGAATCAGCCTGACACATGTCTCTTAAACAATCCCTTTGGCTCTAACAAACCAGATTCAGGACCATAGCATTGGGAGCTGGAAGTGACCCTTAAGAGATAACCTAGCCTAATCTAGTCCTCATTTTACAGCTGAGGAAACAAATCCAGATTAAACTCAGGTCTAACTTCAGTGCTCCACTGTCTCTCCTTCTAAGAGCTGTTAAAGTCTCATTCAAAAAAAAAAAAAAATCCAATCACTTGTATAGGACTGGGAAGCCACATCTTACATAGGGGTCAGGGGCTAAAGTCAGTCCTAAAGGAAAAGATCTCATTTATAAAACATAACCTTGAAAATATCTTAAATTACTCATAAAGTACAGTATATTTATATATGTGTGTATGGTGTTTGTCCTTCGTTCTTGAAGAGGACCATGACATCAGGAAGATGATGCCATGACTTGCAAGTGAATTGGATATAAGTGACGCAGGGCTGTGCAAAGTCACCAGCCTCACTTTCTCCTCCAGAGTCATCTGGGTCCAGGGGCAAGAGACAGATCAGGATGACTGAAGATGGCCCCCAATATGTGTGTATAATACGTACATATAATACAGTATATGTTTATAATGTATATAAAGTTGTTCAGTCGTGTCCAAATTTTCAAGACCCTATATGGGGTTTTCTTGGGAAAGATAATGGACTGGTTTGCCATTTCCTTCTCCAAGCCTTAGGCAAACAGAGATTAAGTGACTTGTCCAGAGTCACACAGCTAGTTAATGTCTGAGGCCAAATTTGAACTTAAGTCTTCCTGACTCCAAGGTTAGCACTCCATCCTCTGAGCCACCTAGCTACCTGCTATAATATACATTAAATATCAACTACAATACACATATATTATATGCACATATATTTTACATACCATATATAATACATACATATATACATGTATCTATAAATACACACATATTTTATATACGTATATATATACATATATATACATATACACACATATCAATCAGGAAAGGGATTGGGGTCTCCTGGATTGAAGTTATTGTTAAGAAAACTATTAAATGTAAAATTTATTTTTTATAATATCT